CAGTGGGATTGCTGTCAACCCCATCTTCTTTTACTCCTATGAAATGATTCCTTCAACCAATATTTTTTCCCCTATGTATTAAGAATGACACTACTTATATATCATCCTGGCAAGAATCAAGAAAATAGTCACTGAAATTATTTTCTGTGTTCTATAGTTCATACGAGGAGCTCCAGTTGAGAAAGGCTAATAACAGACATGCAAACTGAAGTCAGTATAAATGACTTGCTCAATCTACAGCACATGGAAAAGCTAAAGACAGGAAATTCCTGTGCTAAACAGCCTCTCATGTTATTATATAAACTAATCTATGGGAACCATGTTAAAATAAATCCCCTTAACTTCTTCTGTTACCTTTGCCCCCACTAATTCAACCAAAATTTATTGAGATCTGCTGTGTGCAAAGCACCGGGGATTCTACTATGTGCAAAACAGATAAGTTAGTTATAGATAAGTTATAGTGTATTTATCTTTGTGTTTGCCACAGCAGTGACTTTCAAACATTAAACAAAATAAAAACAACAATCTCAATGTGACCATAGCATATTTTCATATATGGGATGATTTAAGAAGCAATGTTTCTTCTTAAATATATCAGGCCTTCCCTGATAGCTCAGTTGGTAAAGAATCCACTTGCAATGCAGGAGACCCCGGTTCGATTCCTTGGTTGGGGAGATCTGCTGGAGAGGAGATAGGCTATCCACTCCAGTATCCTGGGCTGGAGAATTCCACAGACTGTATAGTTCATGGGGTCGCAAAGAGTCGGACACAACTGAGTGACTTTCACTTAAGAAGCAATGTTTACCTTTACCACAGGTAATCACTCTGATATTTAAACTCTATTCTATTTCATTAAAGCAAAAATGATGATGAATGCCTGTTAAATTGATTTTACAGCCTACTCACAGGTTGGAAATACAGGTTTGAGAACTATTCATTCCCTTTTCCATTCAGTTATCCAAACAAACATTTACTGGTGCCTACTGTGTGCTGGACACAGCTCAGAGAGCAGTTGCTGAGCCCCACCTGCCTTTGTGCTCATCTCCTTCGATTGTTTCTGGGACTCTCTGCTCCACCACCTGACCCACTTTTCACAAGCTAATCCCCATCAACACGTGAAAACATTTAAACAGAAAAGGCAAAATCTCCCTTCTCCACGTATCTCTACACAGCTACTGCCCACCAGTCTTAGCCATCCTGTCAAACATTTTAAAAGCATGGTCTCAATATTCTCACCTCCCATTCATTCCTCTGTACAGTGACCTGACTTCTGCCCAGTCATTCATCAAAATTGCTCCCTGTAAAGAGCCCAAGGGCCGTCCTGTCAAACCCAAAGAACAATTTGTCTATTATCCTACTTGCCATCTTCCAAAACTAACACTGTGACCACTCCCTCCATCTCAGCCCTTGGCTTCCATGATCAAATATCTTTGTTTTCTTCCTGTTTCTTTCGGTTTCCCTTTTCAGCTCCATCTTCTCTGCCAATCCCCTGCATGCTGGTCTCCAGAGGTAATCACCTAAGTCCTCCTCTAGCCTCTTTTCATTCTAGTCTCTCAGAATGATGGTGTCTAACCAAGCTGAAAGTCTCAGTCTCTTAAAAACACTTCCTCAAATACACCCAAATCTGATTCACTCCTAGTTTCCATTTCCAAATGCTTCTCATATCTCGTCTCCTCTTCACTTGGACAAATATTCCCTCCTTCCAGTTTTTACCCACTCCTGTCAAACTGTCATAACAATGATTCTAAAACACAAGTCTGACCACGTGTCATTTCTCCATTTATATCACCTCGGTGGTCTCTTGTTGCCTACGAAGTCTGTGATCCTCAGCAGAGCAAATGGGGCTTGTTATGAGGTGGCATTTGCCCCACTGCAGGCTCATCTCCTGCAGCCCCCACTCCCTGTCTCGCTTAGAGCCCCCTTGGGCAGCGTGCTTCTCCAGGCTTCTGTGCCTGGGTGGACACTTGCTGTTCTTCCTGCCTGGTGTCTCCTTTCCTCTATTGAACACAAAGCCCTCACAAGGACTCCACTGGTGGACCAATGGTTAAGAATCTGCCTTGCAAAATGCAAAGAAAGCAAAAACAAACAAAAAGAATCTTCCTTGCAATGCAGGGAATGAGGGTTCGATCTGTGGTTGGGGAACTAAAATCCCACCTGCTGTGGAGCAACTAAGTCTGTGCAGCACAACTAGGGAGTCCCTGCGCCACATAAAAGTCCTGCATGATGCAGTGAAGATCCTGAGTCCTGCAATTAAGACCTGAGGCAGCTAAAAAAAGCCCTAACTTTACAGGCCTCCTCTGAGAAAAGAACTCTGTGAGCAGCACACTCCCTGAGGGAGAGGCACTTTCTTTTCTGTGCTCCCAAGGCACACTGGGTTTACCCTGAAGGTGAATTCACACTGGGCTCTTCACTAGTGACTGAGCCCCCATGTCTTACTCATTTTTCTGATGACTTGAGCATACAGCAGAACTGGACACACAGTAGATGCTCGATAAATGTGGCGTAATGTTTAGCCACCTAGTACTAGATGGTTACAAAAGGCTAGAACCCACACATTGACCCTGAAGATACCCTGACTCACTCCTGCCAAATTTTTTTTAATAATCTCAAACTTACAGAAGTATTGCAAGAATAGTTTAAGGAACCTCGGATACACTTCACCTGGGTTCAGCAGGTGTCACCCTTGCCCCCACACTTGCCTCATTCGTCTTTTCTCTCTGCACTGAGTTCATTGCAGACATCATGACAATTAGCCCACATACATTTCAGCATGTCTCCCAAGATTGAGAATGCTCTTCTATAATAAATAAAGAATGCTCTTCTTTGTAACCAGATTAACATTCAGAAAATGTAACCGTTGACACAATATTACCTAGTATGTAGTCTGAAATGAAATTTATATTTCCCCAATTATGTCCTTTTAAATTGTTTGTTTGGACCCAGAAGCTCTTTTTGGTGATTGTTTCCTCATGATTAGATTCAGAATAAGCATTTTTGGCAGACATACTAGGTAGGTGATGGTGTACACCTATCATGTCTTTGCTCCATTATTGGTGATGCTGAGTTTGATCATTTGGTTAAGGTGATGAATTACAGATTTCTCCCCTGTAAAGTTTACTTTTCCCTTTACAATGTAGTTAGTAAGCTAAGTGTGGGTATGTTTATCTTTATATTGCATGATTATCTTCTTCCCTAACAATTTTTTATTCATTGATTTAGGTGCTTTTTATCCAAAATTTTTTTATTCTAGTAAAACACACATAAAAGTTACAACTGTAACCATTATGTTTACAGTTCAGTGGTGTTAAGTATATTCATAATGTGCTACCATTACCACTGTCCATCTTCAGAATTCATTTCATCTTGTAAAATTGAAACTCTATATCCACTAAGTTATAATGCCCCACTCTCCCTTCAACTCCTGGCAACCACTGTTCTTTCTGTCCCTATGATTTTTGCTGCTCTCAATACTTCATATAAGTCTAATCGTGCAGTATTAGTCTTTTTGTTACTGGCCTACTTCACTTAATATAATATTAAGATGCTAAGTTCACATTAAGAGCATAATGTGAATCTCAAATTTCACCTGTGTTGTGGTTTATGTAAGAATTTCCTCCCTTTTTAAGGATGGAATAGTATTTCATTGTATTGCTAATCCAATTCTTTTCTACTAGATACCTTGTGTTAGCTCTCCGTGCTCTTGACAAAGTGTAAAAGGTGAAATCAAAATGCCATTTTGTTTGGGGGGTCAAAACACTCTTAGGCAGTCTGTTTACAAAATTGTGGTAGGTTGTGGAAATGAAGTTGGAACATAGTATCTCCAGTAAGCAAATGGAGAAAAATATCCTCCACCAGTTCTGAGAAGAACAGACCACAGGGAGAGGACAGGTCATCACAGTGGATCGGACATAGAAGTACCTGCAGACTTCCAACGTTCATACGTGTTCTGCCTTCTAACTAAATATAAACATCCTCAGACCTGTCGGCAACATTTTCCAAACAGTTGACGCAAAATTCTTGCTGGAAAGTGGAAATTCCTTGCAGGAATCATTAAGTTCTGTAAAATTGCATCAGGCTGCAATAATACACTCTTGCAATCTCCTTCTTTTGTCATCTCCAAAGGATCATGACATGAATAAAATGTAAACATTCCTGAAGTAACTAGGACCTTGGTGGCCCGTGCTACTTGGACAAGTGTTGGAAAGGCGTGAGAGGTGGCGTCCAGGGGAGAGCCAGAGGGCACCAACCCCTGAGAACTTTCCACACAACAGAGCAGTGGTGTAGAGACGGCGCGCTCCGACCTCGGCAAGTCGGTCGTACAGCCAACAAGTGCTCGGGCAGCGACCCCGGGAGGACCGAAGGCCGTCAGCGCGGGCGGTTCCCGCCTGCAGCCTGGTGCTGCTCTCAGGCGCCCCTTTACTCAGCGCCCCCCTCTGCCAACACTGGAGGCAATCACTGCGGTAATAACAGCGAGTCGTGGAGAGGCGTCCGGCCTTCCGGAGGCGGCGGAGGTTCCCTCTTCCCAGCCACTGCACTCGCAAGTCCCGCGGCGGGGCCCAGAGCCTCCGCAGACCCCACCCGGCCTCCAGGGCCCCGGCCCGGCCTCTTGGGTCGCCTCTCCGCAGCGCCGCGGCTCGGACCTCTCTCCCACCCGCAGCCGCCGCCGCCCCCCGGGTCTCCCAGGCCGTGACCTCTCCCCTCCCCGGCCGAATCCACCTCCGGCCCGGTCCCCTCCCGCGCGCCGGCCTCCTGGGCCCAGACGCCCCCCGCCGCTCGAGCCCCTGCCCGCGCCCCCGCCCCTTGGCTCGGGCCCGGCTCGCTCTCCCCGGGCGCTCCGCAGCGGGGCGGGCGGGGCAGGCTGGCGCAGGGGGCGGGGATTTCTGGCACTTTCTGGGCGCCGCGAACGCTGTGCTCCTGGGTTCGCCGGCCGGAAACGTCGGCGACGGAGCCGCACCGCCGCCGCGGCCGTTCCTTGTTCTCCGCCGAGGCCGCGCCGCCGCGCTGACATGGCCAAGTGGGGACAGGGGGACCCGCGCTGGATCGTGGAGGAGCGGGAGGATGGGACCAACGTGAACAACTGGCACTGGTGCGGCCGGGCGGGGCCGGGGCCGCGGCTTCCGGGCGGGCCTCCTCGCTCGCAAGCTGCCGGGAGGGACGGGAGGGGCCCTCAGCGAGCGCCCGGTTCCCGGGTGGCGGGGCGGCCGCGGGTCTCAGGGCTCTCCCCTGGCCGCGGCGAGCCCCGGGCGGGAGGAGCGGGGAGGGTTGTGGGGCTGCACAGGTGCAGATGCTTGTCTTTAGCCTCGGGGCTTGGGGAGCCCTTGGAGCCTGGAGACTGGAGACCTGGGGTCTTACCCACACTGGCTCTGGGACTTGACTTTGCTCTTTGAAAGTTGGGTTGGGCCCCAGGAGTAGCAGTCATTCCTGACTTACCCCTTCAGCTTTGGCAGTCTGTGACTTCAGGAGCTACCCTCCGTGGCCCTCCGCTCCAGACCCTTGAAGTCTTGGGGGGGGAATTAAAATGAAGCTGGAAAGTTTGCGTGTGTGTGTTTCATGTCTATAGTGGAAAGAACAGGAAAACAGGAATTTGGATCTGAACTCCACATCTAACTTGATGGGTCTCTAGTGAGCCTGCCTTCTAGAAGTTGGAACTAGTTACTCATCCTTTTTCAATCTCATCTACAGTATGGGCCAATTTCTGCCCCCCTCCCCCTTCCACCTGAGCTTTCAGGAAGTGATGTTCTGTGCTCCTTTTCTCTGAAGGCTAGGGCTATGCTACCTCGGGACCATCAAGGTGATGCTGAGGCAGGTCCAGAGCAGAGCAAGGCTTTAGCCTGTGAGGGCATCCTGTCTCGGAAGGGTCGGGGTGGGGGTGGGGGGGGGACGTCCTGGCCTGAGGATGGGAAGGGCTGACCTCTTCTTTCCCAGCCTTGCCACCATGAACACTTAATAGACTTATCTCAGCTTATTTTCACTCCCCTAAAATGGGGACATTATTTGGGAAGATTGTGTGAGATAATATACGTGTGAAAATACTTAATAATTTGTCTTATTATGATAAAAATTTTCTCAGTTATAACTACTTTTTCATGTGGCCCATGCTTTGCCCCTCCATTTCCAACAGGTGAAATTTCTAGACCTCCTTTCTCCCAAATAAGCCATGCCTCCCAACATATCTTAAAGCACTGATGAGACTTAGAAGATGTTTGGTAGAAAACTGGTCTGACAATGTGCTTGTAAGTTCGTGGGTGGCAGGCCTCTCACGTGGTTGAGAGGAACTGGGCAGATCTGGACTGGGCCGGGGACGGGCGTGTGGATACCAGCAAGGGCGTTCATTCACGGCTCTGCCCTTCTTCTGGTCCTGGCAGGACAGAGCGGGATGCCACCAGCTGGTCCAAGGGGAGGCTTCGTGAACTCCTGGTGGGTATCACCGTGGAGAATGAGGCTGGCCGCTGCGAGATCAGTGAGCTGAAGCAGGTGGAAGGCGAGGCTTCCTGCAGCAGCCGCAAAGGAAAGCTGATTTTCTTCTATGAGTGGAACATCAAGCTGGGCTGGAAAGGTAACAGGGGCCTCCAGGTACTGGTAGGGTAGAGTGCAGTGTTGGTGGAGCAGAGTTGGTTAACTCCATTAGTCATTCATTCAGCAGATACGGTTGAGTCATTAGTCATTCATTCAACAGATATTTTTATTTTTGGTTGCACTGAGTCTGTTTCTGTGCGTGGGCTTTTTCTAGTTGCTGCAAGCCAGGGCCACTCTTCGTTGTGGCATGCCGGCTTCTCACTGTGGTTGCTTCTCTTTTTGCCTGGCACAGGCCTTAGGCACGTGGGTTTCAGTAGTTGCAGCTCGTGGGCTTAGTGGTCGTGGGTCACAGGCTTAGTGGTTCAGCTGGCGTGGGGATTCTTACTGTACCAGGGATCGAACCTGTGTCCCCTTCACTGGCAGGTGAATTCTTATCCTCTGGGCCACCAGAGAAGGCCAGCAGATATTTTTAGAACTCCTGCGTGGGCCCCTAAATTGGTGTTTGTGGTTGCAGACACACGTAGTACATGTGGAGTTCTTGCCCCACCTGCTATGGGCTCCCCTCTCTCCCAGCCTTCAGAGCTTCTTCTTGTTCAGTCACTCAGTCGTGCCCAACTCTTTGCGACCCTATGAACTTCAGCAAGCCAGGCTTCCCTGTCCTTCACCATCTCATTTGCTCAAACTCATGTCCATTGAATTGGTTGGTTGTTCTCAGCAGGACTCAGTCGGTCAGGCACTTGTGAGCCTTAGTATTTCCTGGAGCTGCCGCCTGGACCACTCCTCCCCTGGATTGTTGCATGCTGGTTCCTTTGGCTCCTTCAGGTTTTCATCCTGAGTACATTCTATAAAAATGTCACCTGTCTTCATTCTATAAAAATATCAGATCCTTTTCTTGGACTGTTTCCCTTCTCTGCTTTGTTTCTCCTGAAAGCACTTATCCTTGGCACACTACATGCAGTTATATTATTATTGTTCTGGATCCCCCTTTTCTCCCCATGCATTGGGGCAGAGATTTTTAAAAATAACATCTTTATTGAGATATAATCACATACCACACGGTTCACCTGTCTAAAGTATACAATTCTGTGGTTTTCAGTATATTCACAGAATATGCAGCCATCACTACAGTCAGTTATAGAGCATTTTCATCTCCCCTGTCACTCGCCCAGTCCTTGGCAACCACTGATCTATGTTCTGTCTCCACAGATTTGCCTATTCTGGATATTTCTTATGAATGTTATTGCACAGTTTTTGGTCTTTGGCGACTTTTATTTGGCATAATATTGTCAAGGTTCATCTGTCTTGTAGCACATTTCATTCTTTTTCATGGTTGACTGACTGATGTTCTGTTGTATAGATGTAGCACATTTTGATTATCTGTTCATCAGTTGATAGACGTTTTGGTTGTTTTCACTCTTTGGGTCTTTGGGTCAGGGACTGATTAGTTTTGCTTACAGATTACTGCCTGAAAGGTTGTGTATTTGTTGAATGAATGCATTTCTCCCATGGTACCTAGCTCCTTGCTGGGTAGACAGCCTATATTCAGTAAATCCTTGTTGAAAAAACGAGGAGCAAGGGTAAGATTTGGTTCTGGAGGACTGTGCTGTGTTAAAGTTTGGACCTCAGCTCGAGTCATCTCCATTCTTGAGAGCTGCCCAGTTAGTGGCCTTGGGCCTCTGTCCTAGTGACTGTCTTGCTGACTTGAGCCAGGCCAGAGCCCAGGGAGGTGTTTAGTGAGCATCAAAAACAGCCCACTCCTGCCTTGGAATATTCTGGCTGGAGGTTGCCTATCAGTTGCTCCCTCAGTGGCTTCTGCTGGCTGGATCATAGCAGGGTCTGGTTCCTCATACATTCCAGCTCCCCAAGACAGGGCTCTGAGAGCCCCAAGGAAGCTTTTGATCTTGTGTCGCTTCCATCTCCCTTAGCTCAAAGCAGCAACCAGCTCCTTTGCAGAATAAGTCCCTGGCAGGAGCCAGAGGGCAGGCACACCAGTGCTTCCCTGACCCCATGTGCTTTCTTTTCTAGTAGTGAGTCCTAGAGGTGGCTAGTGGGACCCGCTGGGGAGGAGGCAGTACTCTGGTCTTGCTTTTTTTTTTAAATTGAACTTTAGTTATATTAAATTTAGCTTTCTTCAGCTTTATTGAGATATAACTGATTTATAACATTGTATGAGTGAAAAGTGTACAGTGTGATGATTTACTATATGCATATATTGCAAAGTGATTCTACAGTAAGGTTAGTTAAAACATCCATCACCTCATAGAGTTGTCGTTTCCTTTGTGTGTATGATGAGAACCTTTAAGTTCGGCTCTCAGCAGTTTTCAAGTGAATAATACTGTACTGCTCACCATGCTGTACATTACCGTCCTCAGAACTTACTCATCAAATAAGCTGAAGTTTGTACACTTTGTATCTTTTGACCACCTTCACCGCCCTTCCCTCCTCCACCTTGCAAACACCAGTCTACTCTTTCTATGAGTTTGGTTTGTCTAGATTACACATATAAATGAGATCATACAGTATTTGGTTTTCTCTGACTTATTTCACTTAGCATAATGCCCTCAAGGTCCATCCATGTTGTCACAAATGGCAAGATTTCCCTTCTTTTTTGTGGCTGAATAATATTCCATTGTGTAAATATGTCATGTTCTTTTTATTCATCCATGGATGGACACTTAGGTTTCCATGTTTTGACTACCATAAATAATGCCGTTTTGTACATTGCGGTGAAGATATCTCTTTGAGATAGTGATTCCATTTTCTTTGACTATAAGTGGAATTGCTACATCATATGGTAATTCTATTTTTAATTTTTTGAGGAACCTCTACTGTTTCCCATAGTTGGCTGCACCAGTTTACTTTCCCACCAGTAGTGCATGAGGGGTCTCTTTTCTCCACATTCTCATCAGCACTTGTTACCGCTTTTTGATAGTGGCCATTCTAACAGGGGTGCAGCGGTATCTCTTTGTGGTTTGGATTTATATTTCCCTGATGATTAGCGATATTGGACACCTTTTCATATGCCTGTTGGGCATTTGAATATTTTATTTGCATAGATATTCAGGTCTTTTGCCCATCTTAATGGTATTTTTTTTTTTTTGAGTTGTATCAGTTCCTTAGATATTAACTTCTAATCAGATACAGTTTACAACTATTTTCTCCCACTCTGTTGGCTGTCTTTTCATTTTGTTTTTTGTTTTGCCATGCAGAAGCTTTTTAGCCTGACTAGTCCCTCTTGTTTATTTTTGTTTTTGTTATTTGTGCATTTGGTATCATATCCAGAAATCATTGCAAGACTGACATCAAGGAGCTTTTTCCGTTTTTCCCTAGGAGTTTGATGGATTCAAGTCTTTCATTTAAGTTTTAATCCATTTCAAGTAAATTTTTACGTATGGTGTAAGAGAGGGATTCATTTTCATCCTTTTCATGTGAATATTCAGTTTTCCCAGCACCGTTTACTGAGGATAGTAGCTTATAGCCATGGAGTAGTTTTGTTTCCCATGTCATATATTAGTTGACCATGTTTGCAAGGGTTTATTTCTGGCCTCTTGATTCTTTTCCATTGGTATGTGTCTTTTTTTTACACCAGTACCATAATGTTTTACCACTATTGCTTTGTAGTAAACTTTGAAATCAGGAATTGTGATGTCTTCAGCTTTGTTCTTTCTCAGGATTGCTTTGACTATCAAGAGTATTTTGTGATTCTGTGTGAATTTTAGGATTTTTTTTCTAATTCTGTAAATGCCGCTGGAATCTTGATAGAGATTGCATTGAATGTACAGATGCCTTTGTGTAGTGGGAACATTTTAACAGTATTCTTTCAAGACATGAACATGTGTTATCTTTCATCATTGTCTTACAGTTTTCCATCTACAGATCTTTTACCTCCTAGATTAAATTTATTCCTAAGTATTATACCATTTTTGCTGCTATTGTAAATGGAATATTTGTTTCTTTTTCAGATAGTTCATTAAGTTAGTGCATAGAAAAGCAACTGATTTTTTTATGTTGATTTTGTATCCTGAAAGCTTTACTGAATTTATTTAGTCTAACAATCTCTTGGATTTTTTGTATATATGATCATGTCCTACACAAATAGAAGTAATCTTACCTTTTCCTTTCCAATTTGGATGCTTTTATTTCTTTTTCTTGCTTGTTTGCTCTGGCTAGGACTTACAATACTATTCAATAGGAGTGGTGAGAGTGGGTACCCTTGTCTTGTTCCTGATATTAGCGGAAAAGCTTCCAACATTTCATATGATGAGTATAAGGTCAGCTGTGGGGTTGTTACCTATATTGTCTTTATTATAACAGAGATATGTTTCTGTTATACCCAGTTTATTGGTAGTTCTTATTATCAGAGGACATTGAATTTTCTCAAAAGCTTTTTCTGCCTGGATTGAGATGATCATATGATCTTTATTATTCATTGTTTTAATGTGATGCATGATTTGACTTGGGCATTAAGCCATCCTTGCATTTCAGGGATTAATCCCATTTGCTAATAGTATATGATCCTTTTAATGTGCTGTTGAATTCAACTTGCCAGTATTTTGTTGAGAATTTTTGCATCTCTATTTATGAGGGATATTTGTCTGTAATTTTTCCTTGTAGCATCCTTAACTCACTTTGGTATCCTGGTAATACCAGCCTCTTAAAATGAGTCTGAGAATGTTTCCACTCTTCAGTTTTTGGGAAGAGTTTGAAAAGAATTGATGTTAGCTGTTTAAATGTTTGGTAGAATTCTCCATTGAAATCATCTGGTCCTGGGCTTTTCTTTGTCAGGAGTTTTTTTTTTTTTTTTATTACTGATTTAGTTTTCTTAATTGTAATTGGTCTGTTCAGACTTTCTACTCCTGAATGGTTCAGGCTTGGTAGGAAATATATTTCTAGGAATTTATCCATTTCTTTTAGGTTGTCCAGTTTTACAGCATTTAATTGTTAACAGTGGTCTCTTATCCTTTGTGTTTGTGTGGTATCAGTTGTAATGTCTCATCTTTCATTTTTAATTTTATTTGAGTCCTCTTTTTCTCCCCTTGG